AAACCATCCCTGTGTACTTAAATGGCAGTGGGTGGGGAGCACCCAACAGCCCTTTTCATGCTCAGATTAGTGGCTGGGACTCTGATCTTGCAGAAGCTGCTGTAGGTTGAAAACTGAGTGTTTGGCTCCTATTTCTGTCAATGAAATTAGGTGCCAAGTGGCAAACAGAAGGTCTTTGCCAGCAGAAGGCATCTCTGAGGGTGCACATTGTGCTGCTGCAGTGTCCCTGGTTGGAAAGGGGAGAAGGTGGCCTGGAACAAAAACAGACTTGGATTTTCTTGATTTTTCTACTTAGGCAGACCTTTCCCTTTGGAAAGGAATCAGGCAGATGTGGCCTCCAGTATGCAGGAAAAAAACCCTGTGTAACATAGATTTCTTTAATGGTTTCTTCATTTAAAGCATCACTTGAACATTATAATATGCAGCTTAGCTAGTTGGGGTTATAGGTTCAGTAAGTTCTTTCATTAGTCATACTAATAATGTAAGGATGCTTAAAATGAAAAGCTTCTTCACAGCCAAATGTTTAGTAGATGAAAGATCTTAATTTTCTTCCCTGAAAAAAAAATGAGAACAACTTGTTGTGACTTTATTTTCTTTTTAGTTGCTTGTGGGAAGGTAGAATATTTGACAGCTGTGGTACCTGATGCTCATCTAAAGGTTTTCATTTCAAAGGGCTTCAGGATATGTGACCACTCCAAAAATCTCCCCTGAAAAGCAGTGCTGGGGGGAAGGGTTAGGGAGGCTTGAAACCCAGAGCCTGAGTTCTTGCATCACCAAAGATCCTACTGGGCATAACCCATGTCATTGGATCTGAGCCAAGCACATCCCTGGCATCATGTTCCCAGCTGGGCAGGGCAATAAAACCTCTGGAACAGCAACAGGGCCATGGCTGAGTGCCTGCAAACATCCCAGGAAATGCCCTGGGTCAGGCTCAAATATCCAGTGAGTGCTGCTTATAAATTTTCATCTGACTTTATTGAAGTCAGCTTCTGACTTCAGTCATTTCTTTAATTAGTCTGATTCTTCATGCAAGAGGGCTTAAAATCAAAAGCAGCTTCTCAGCCAAGTTAACATTCAAGCACAATTAAGTTGAAAAATATGATGGAGGAATATGAAGAAATAAAAGACCATTTTTGGCAGCAGCAACATATCAATTATTTCCCTGGGAAACCACGTGGAACACAATGAAATGCAGTAAGAGATATTTTCACAGCAATGTGCCCCAGCCACAAACCCTTAGGCACTTTGGTAGGTGCTCATAAACACTAACTGGCTTCTGAAAAATATTATTTTAAGCACTTGGTGGGTGATGCTGATGTTAAACACTGCTCCTGTGCCTGAGAGTTGGAGTTGAATTCCCAGGCTGTGCTGGTATTGTGAGAGCTTTGGTGACAGAGCAGCCATGGTCCTTGGGTGGGGCTGTGCCCATGTTGGAAATGCATCCTCTGGGTTTATTCCCCCCTGGGGAATGTTCTCTGCCCAGGAGTTGTTTCGTGTTGCCCTCACCTGCTGCCAGAGCACAGGGACTGTTTGCTCCAGAGTCAGCTCTTTCTGATGGGGTTTCACAGCTGCATCTTCAGTGGGTTTGGCTGTGAGAACAACAAGGCAGGGGGATCCAGCTTGGAGCATCCCCCACAGGGCTTGCAGGATGCAGTGAAGGGACTCCAGGGCTTGAGAAAGATGAGAGCATTAAGATAAAGGAGTGAAAAAGCTTGTTTTGCAGGGAGGTGCACGTGCCACCTGGGGCTGAAGCTCGTGCCAGCAGATTTGCTGCCAGCAGCTCCCACCCCATGTGTCCTGTGCTGTGTCCAAGCTGAGAGATGAGGTTTTTTATACCCTGACAGACATCAACTGCCCCAAATATGTGTGTGATTCAGTAACCTGTGCTTTCCTGGCATGAGGCAGGTTGGGTGGCACCTTCCTGGCAGCCAGCATCTCATGGGATGGAGATGTTGGTGTTCAGCTCCCAGCAGGTCCCACAGCTCAGCAGTGGTGGTGAAGGGGTCCCCAGTCCCACCACCTTGGGCTCTGCTTCTAGGGAGGACCCAGGCATGGGTGCCACACTGGTATTGAGAGCATCTTTTTCCCTAATCCACTTAACTGTGGCAGGTCAGGCAGAGCAGGGCTGAGTTTAGTTAAATAAACACCTTTCCAGGCCATAAATGGATTGATAAAATGTAATTCTATTAAGAGATCATTCCAGTGCTTGAAGAGCACTAATCGTTGGTGTGGGAATCTGAAGCACAAGGAGATTAGCAGCAACCTTTATTTCCTGAGCTGGGTGGCTGTTGAGGTGCTGGGCTGTCAACTACATGTTCATGTATCAAGAAGCAGTTGTGCTGTCCTGTCCAGAGGGAGCCTCAGGTGGGAACTCTGCACAGCCCCACGGCTGCTCTGGCTAGAAAAATAAATGGTGCCCACTTTTATTCCAAGCAAATGGGGGAGAAAAAACATATGAAAAATCGATTTCTGTGCCCCAGGTGGTGTTGCCAGGGGGGGTATTTGGGGGGAAGGCAGAGGAGTTGCTGTGCTGGGTGGGTGCAGGGTCCCACACACACACAGGTCTGCTTTTCCCCCTCAGGGAATGTCCAAAATAAGGTAGGAACCCATCCTGGCTGCAGGGACACTGGAGATGCAGAGATGTGGGGATGCACTGGGAGCCTTTGCCTCCTCTGGAGGGTGTGCCCACCAGTGGCTGGGGGATGCTGAGGGGTGGGTGACATTGTGGCTGAGTATCTGGAGTTAAGCCTAAACAAATCCTTACCATCCCCTTCATCTATCATCTATCTTCACATTAAAATGTTGTTTCTCTCTCTTTCTTTTTCCTGCTTTCTCCCCTGCCTTGTTCTCTCCCTCTTCCAGCAATGTGGACACCAAGGAGCTGTGTGGTGAGTGTGGATCCTCTCTGGGGACAAAAGCAATTGTTATGTGTCTGTGTTGAAGGATGTGGAGCTGGGGGGGCCTCAGCCCTTCTGCTGCTTCACCCCCTTATTCCACAGGAAAACTGGCAAAATTTTGCTTCATTTTCTTGCAAGACCAGAGGGGCCAGAGCTGAGTGCAGCACTTGGTTTCCATTCAGTAGCAAGCTGGACTTGGATTTCTGGCAATGTGGTGGCTTCCAGCCCCATTGTGAAGCTCAGCAAACCTTCTGCAATGTGCAGAAGGTGTTTCTCCTCTGGCAAAGGGCTGTGTTTCCCAGCAGGCTGCCTGAGGTGCTGCACCCCCCACAGCTCACAGAAATTAAAGGCTGAAAAGAAAAAATCCCTGGCAAAACTTTGTCCCACACCTTGACCAGAAAGGGAATATTTCCTGCTGGGGATTCTGAAGGGCTTTGCCTCTAGGGGAGGTGACTCCTGCTGCTCATCCAGGTGTGTTTTTCCATGGACACTTAGGAAATGTTTCCTGTGCCCCAGCTTTTTGGCAGGAGATGGGGGGACAGAGGTATGTGGCCTTGCAAGGGGCTCCTCTGGCTCTTCTGCTCTTATCCAGGATGCACAAGAACATCAAAAGCCACCTCAGCAGGTCCTCACCATTGACCTTCATCACTTTGCCAGTAATTACAGCCTCCAGAGGCTGGGAGTGGGTTATGCCAGAAAGGTGCTTGCTGGGGTTCCTGTGCCAGCACCAGTTACTTGTTGGGACATTGGGAGCATCTTAAAAGGGATTTCTTGAGCCCTGCATCTTATACGAGAAACTTGATGTGGTTTAACCCCTATCAGCCAGCACCTTATCAAGTTCTGGGTTGTTTCCCCTGCCAGCAAACACAACAACCAGCAGCACCCAGACTGCCTTAAACATGGTCATGGCTGGTAGTATTTCATACGCCCAGAAAATGCAGGTGCAGCTACCACATTGTGCCCACTGCCCTTCAGGTGACAAGAAATGTGGACATGGAGCAGTACAAACTGTCCAGAGGACTGGGGTGGACTTTACAGACGGGAGGTGCACAGCGACCTGGTGCAAACTGGTGCTGGCTTTGCTGGGGAGAGATGGATGGGATGCTCATCTCCTGAGCATCTATCCCATTGTTCAGCCATGTGGGAGCCATGAGCGAGGCCCTGTAGGACAGGAAGAGCTGATCTCAGATGTTCCTATGAACAGATAAGGCTGCAACAGCAGAACTGGACACTGTGGTTAAGTTCTCCTCCCAGGTGCTCCTTGGTTGTGCTCTGCCCACAGGAGCTCATTTCTCCTGAAATACAGGAGCCCAGCTACAAAGCTTTACCCTTTACCTTTCAGACCTGTTCAGTTTTTCTTTCCCAAGTAATAATAATAATAACACAAGTAAACACACTGCAGGGAGAATAACCTGGTTATCATGGAACAGCAAACAGCTGCTGCCAATCACACTGTGACATTCCAGCTTCTGCCAAACTCTTCCCCTTTGCTCCTCAGTCTGTAAATAGCTATAGGCACTTCTAATTAAGCCAGGATAACCTAATTAGTGGGTTTGTTTCCTGGAGTTTGCCTTGTTGCATTCTGCAGAGGTGTCACCTTTGTGTGAAGCTTCATGTCTGATCTCTAAGGAACGGAGCTGGTGGCTTTTAAAGAACAACTTTTGGCTGTAGCCTGTGTCAGGCACCCAGAAGCCAGGAGGGGTGAGGATGGCATGGAGAAGATGTGGACTCCCTCTTCATGGAGAGCTTGTGCTTTTGGGCCCAGCTCGTGGCTCTGTTCTCTTCCTTTTGAGGCATATTTGGCTCTCAGAAACCTCTGCAACCTGTGATGGGTGGCCTGAGGTGCAGATGTGATGGACATGTAGGGAGTCAGTGCCAGCTCACATAAACTGGGGTGAACCTGGCAGGTACTTGGATGCTTTGGGTGGCAAAGACTTTAAAATTAATGGAAAGAGCAAGATATGGTGAAATGCAGAAGTGGGCATGGAAATAATGCAGCTGCTGTTCCTTTCAGTGGGAGATACCACCACTCCCCACCCCTGCAGGACAAGCTGTGACTTTGGCTCAGGCTACAGAATACAAAAATATGCCTGCAACAGCCCTCTCAGGTTCTGCTTTCCACCAGTAAATAGGCCTTGCTGTCCCACTTCTTAGCCTTGACTCATGTCCCTCTTGGTGTTCCCAGACTATTTTGCTGACCACATGGGAGACTACGAAGATGTCTTGGCCTCTCTGGAGACACTGAACCTCTCCATCCTGAAGGCAATGGACTACACCAAACGGGTGAGTCCTCCTCACTGCTCCGTGTGCTCCTTGGGCTGGGGGAAAAAGGTGCCAATGTCAACTGAGAGCCTAAATCCCAAGGTCCTTGTCCCACTCAGCAGTGTTGTCTCCTCGTGCTGTCGCCTTCATGCCAGGTGTGGATCATCTCAGCAACAGGATGGCAGTGGATTTTTGTAAATAGCAGAGGAATTTGGGAAATCTTGGCCAGATTGTGAGCTGAGGTGGCAGTAAATGGTGACATGGTGGCTCTGAGGCCCTGTCCTGTGTTGGAGAGGCAGTCTTGGCTGTGCTGTGGCTTATGCTCAGGGTTGCCTGAAGCTTGAAGGTTCTCCAGGTGTCTTCAGACAACATGGCCTGTGAGTCTCTTGGGTGGGAATTAGAAAGCTTGAGTTCTTGGTAATGTCATTATAAGAGCTTCTGGAAACATCCTACTATAATACTGCTGTTAAGCACAGCTGGGGTGTTGGAAGGCATCGTGCCTTCCAGAAATACAGTCACTCACATGCACAGCTGCTGTGGTAGGAACCAGAGGGCTGTGTCTGTGAAGGACAACAGGGGAAATGTTCTGCTTGTTGTGGGCAGGATACCTCCAGCTTCTACAAAAATCCCCTGTGGACCTTAATGATACTGTCAGTAAGTGCCACTGGGCAGTGGCAGTGATAGAGAAACATAGTGCAGGTTATTTATCAATACCTAGAAAATCTGAGCTGATGTGCCAGGTGTGGGAGCTGCAATGTTCATTGGTGTCTTAAGGTGTTTATAGAGCCCCTGTTCCTTTGCAACCCCTTTTCTGTCCTTTCCACAGCAGTGGTGACTGGGCTATATTGGTGATATTTATTACCTTATAGATACCTCAGGGATTCACTCCAACTTGCTGTTTGTGATGCCTTCCCCCATTGCTTTTGGAATGCCAGGTTAATATATATGAGTAATTCCTCCCAGTGGCAGGGTGGCTTATTCCCTGTTTGTGGGTATTACCTTGCATCTGCAGGAGAAGCAGGATGGTGATTTGTAATCTGAATCCAAAAGAAGAGCATCTTTCACCCCTCTCTGCTGCAGCAGCTCCTGGGAGGATTCACCTGCCTTAATTGCAATGACCTAATTAATTGACCTAAACATGAGCTGGTCACTCCTGTCATGGTCTTATGGAGGGGACCGGGGAGACCCAGAGACCTGGAGACATCTTCCTCCTGTGACTCTGCAGGATCTCAGATGTAGACATCTCCCTTCTCCACAGCTCCATCCCAGCATTCCCAAAGCCAGCAGCAGCTCCCACCTTGTGCTGCTGTAACCAGGGGCCCCGTGCTGATGTCGGGGTGTTTAGGAGGTGCCTACATATAAATGTATTTTTAGAAACAGTGGGTCAGGGCAAAGACTGCCAAAGCAAGGGGTTTATGCCCCCCACCCACAAATCTGGAGCCTGTTGCTGTGTCTCTGCAGCTTCTCCCCAGATCCTGCAAGGGGCTTGGTGCTGATGCTGAGCCCCCTGACTCGTGAGCTCTTTGCTCGGGAGATGCTCCTGCTTCTCTCTGTTGAAATAAGTGTTCCATCAGCTGGAGAAAACTATTGATCACTGAGAATGTTCTTCATTCCCTCCTTCTCCCCTCCATGAAAGGAAGCATTAGGTGCAATGACAAATGAAGCCAACCCCCCTCCTGTGCTGGCTGCTGATGAGAGGTGCCTGGTAGCCCTGGTATTTAATTGCTGTTTGTATTTCTCACCTTAAAAGACAGCTGATTATTTCTTGCTCCTAAAAAGAGAAAGCAGCAATTACCTTATGCTGGAGGAGCTCATCAAGGAGCAGCAGTAATTAGATTCAATAGTGGAAGGTCTCATACAGCAAAACAAAATCTGTCCTGGTAATTATTTTCCCATACGACGATGACGTGTTGAAGGGGCTGTCAGTGACAGTGGGGAATGCAACAGTGAACTGGGGAGAAAAAACAACTTTCAGGATCTGAAAAGAGCTGATGGTGGGGAGTGTTCTTATGTAGTTCTCATTTACTGTTTCCCAGTGCTGTCAGCAAATATCAAACCCAATGTGACCGGGAAGGACACGCTCTGTGTGCCCGGTGTCGATGGGGGCTGGGGGTGATCTGTCCTTCCCACCTGGTTCCTGATCCCTGCTCGGGGCTGCCCACTGTGGGATGGTGCCCAGGGATGCACCAGTGCCCAGCAATGCCTCCAGCATCCCTGCCAGGCTCTGGGAGTGCCCAGGATGAGGGATGAGCCCCCTCTGGGGCTGCTCCTCCTGCTCCCTGCATCTGCCCAACAAGCATTTTGCAGCACTGGGCATGGGAAGACCAGCACAGCTGACCCTTAGGAGAGAGGGAAACCTTTACAAGCACTCTGTGAAGAAATCCCCAAAAATGCTGAGTTAAGAACACCCTCCAAGACAAAGCAGCTCAGATTTAAGGTTTAAGTGTTCCTGCCAGGCAGGTGCTGGTGGCCATTCTTGGGGTGAGCTGGAAGGAGAGTGCTTGGAAAGTAGAAGTGCCCAAAGCCAGAGCTGAAATTGCAGTTCCCCATCATGCACATGGAGTGGAATGGAGCTGATCTCACTGGTGCTGGTTGGGACAGGGCAGGGAAGGGCTGTGCAATGCATCTCCTCATATCATGGACCCAAACCACCTGTCAACACGTTTTCCTCTGAACATCATTACTTAGATACACATGAATCATCAAGTGAAAACAGCATGTACTGACCTCCAGTACCAGCTGCTGATGCTCCAGCAGCACCTGGGAGCTCAGAGGTGTCACAGGTTGGTAGCCATCATTTGTGATTTAAATTGTTCCTGCTGCAATTCACCCTTCTCATCTCTGCCCTGTGACATGTGGTGGCTCAATAATTGACAGGGTGGGTGGGAGCCTCTGTGATGGATCTGATCCCCCCACTGCTGGTGCCAGGGTGGCTCTGGGGTCTCCCCTGGCATCCAGGAACCAGCAGCTCACTCCAAAGAAGGGCTTGTTTGAGCAGTGCAGTCACAGCCCCAAAATGAGCACCATCTGCCACCAGTCTTGGATGCTAAAAAGGATGGATGGTTTTTTTTGTTTCTTTGTTGTTTTTTTATAGCACAGTCCAGAACAGCAATGAGTGCTCTCATTTGTATTCTTACCTGCCAAAATTGAGCTTGCCAAAGATGATATTGCTCTTTTTTGAATGATGACACCTCGAGATAAAATAGACAGTGGGAATAATCCTTAAAAATAATCTTTTCCACCCACTCTCTAGCTACTCCTTTATTTCATCCTTTCATTTTACTTGAGCAGGTTTTCTCCTGCTCTGCTGAACAAACCTGGTGCTCATACTGAGGTTGTCCCTGGAGCAGTGCATGGGAACAGCTTATCTCCTGGTGTTTTTTGTACCTGGTGAAGCCCAGGACATCCTGAGTTCTCATTGGCTTCCTCTTGGAAGTGTTTGGCTCTTCTTTAGGGGTCGGGATGTTTGCCCAAAGGACCAGTTTTCCTCTTCTGGGGGGCTCAGAGCATCATTCATCCTCACCTTTGCAGACAGAGATCTGCTTTGACAGGGAGAGATTAAGAGCTAATCAGGTTTTATTAGCTGGTTTTTTTTGCCCCTTTCTTGGATGGGTGATTTTCTGATGAACCACCAGCTTTGAAACCCTTCCATGATGCAGTTCAAGGTGTATTCATGGTGAATGGTTTTGGCTGCAAGGAGTGCTGATGAGGCAGTGAGTTGGTAAAGGCACAGTCATCTTTCCATATAGTTTGAATGAAACATTTCTGAACAATTTCAATATCCATTTCTATAGCAAGAAAATCATGATGTGAATTTCTGGAGAAGTTATGGAACTTTATAGTTCAAGAATAGCCCAAAAGGAAACAAGGAACATTCATTTAGCTTCTCAGAAAGTACTTCTGCAACTCTTCTCTGAAATTAATTTTAAAACAGTATCTTATTGCAAATTAAAGCAGCAAGTGCTACTCCAGTTCTGCAGGAGCTGAATTTTGCCCAACTTTCCCGTTCAGACTCCAGCCCAGAAGCTGATTCTGTGTGTGATGCCACTCAGAGTGATTTCCTTGCCAGCCCCACAGGGTTGTGTGAGAGATCCAGGAGCTAAACTGCCAAGAGCCCAGCGGGCTCTCTTAGGAAGGTCTCTCTTGGGGGTTATTTTTAGATGTAGATGTTTATTCACTGCTCTTCTGCTTGTCTGTCACTGCAAAATTCACATACATCACTCCTCACACTCTGAGAAGGAAGAGCATCTTCTCTCCAGGTCCTGCCTTGGCTCCAGGTCTCATGGACCTCCTACAGGACATGTTCTTCCTCCTCCTCCCTCCTGTTTTGAGGCTATTACATAAACTATAGGGTGAAGGGAATAAATCCACCAGACATCAGTGCTGTGTCTTGCCAGAAAGTCCAAGGGCAGCTTTGGAGGAGCCACCAAAAGGGACCAAGTCAAGGCACAGCCAGACTGAGCCTTCAGCAGCTTGACCATCCCACACCCTGACGTCTGCAGGGTCTTTTGAGTAGGTCCTGTTTGGAAACCAAAATCTGTGCTTTCCTCAGAAAACTGAGATAAAATACCTATTAATTTACAGTCTTGTGGGTACTAAATACAGCTCATTAGGAACTCGTGTTGAAGGGAAAGGCTAATTATAGCCAGGGTGTTCAGAAGCAGGAGATGGCGCTTCGTTTCCAAGCCTGTTCTTTGCCTGCACCTGGTCAGGGTGCAGAGGAGCTGTTTGATCCACAGGTGACCCCAGGGGGTGACTGTGGGCCAGCACTTACCTGTGTGTGTCCCTCCATCCAATGAGAACTGATGGGATTATCCTGCAGCAAGGAGATCTTTCTAACAATGAGAAGAACTGTGATAAATTGCTCAGGAAAGGTCCATGGCAAGAAACCTTCAGGACCAGACAAGACAAAAAAGAGCTGAGAAGGCTCCAGATGTATAAAAGGAGGATTTCACAGCAAAAGGCTTAAAACCCATGTGATGCCACAATCTTGTTTTATTTTTTAATCTGAGCAGGTGTCTTGTTGCTTCAGAGCCTTTTGGGGAATGCTGAGGGTCTTTCATATGTTAATGCTTTCATATGTTAATGCTTCCATTTATCAACTATTTAAGTGTCTGTTCTCTTCAGGTTTCTTCTACTGATTATGTGCCAGGCAATCAGTTTTGGGTCTCAGCTTGCAAAGGGATCTAAGAGTCAGGGGGAAGGGAAAGGAGCAAGAGGCAGGTCTGAGTGTTGCTCTAATTATAAGAAAATATGTCTCGGAAGAAAACAGGCAATTATGAGCAACGAATTTAAATCAGCCACTTGGAGGTTACAGCACAACACATGCCTGGTGTTTCAAGGATGAGTGGGTGGAAGATAACCTCTCCTTCATGCCAGGATGAGGTCTGACAGGGGTGTTTCATGGTGTGGCAATGGGTTTGTTGATGGGTTGCTGTTTTTTTAACTGGAGGAAGTGTGGGTGAAACAGACTGGCTCTGGTTTTTGTTTGAAAAGGAGCTTTGGAGGTGGCTGGAGTTCATAGAAATGGTAAATACCAGCCAGTTTGACCAGTTTCACTGACAACCAGCACTGGAAAACCTCCTTGGTTGGGCTGCAACACTGCCAGGCAAAGGGAATGTGTGGGGTTGTCTCTGGGGGGTCTCCCAGTCCATGGGTGGCACAGGATCATTTATATTTCACAGCCTGTGGTTTTAACGAGCTAAGTAGTGACCTTTAAAAATGCCAGCAGAGAAGCTTTGAGATGCTCAACAACCTCAAAAGTCTCCTTTCCCAGGCATTAGATACACAGCCATGGGAGCCCAGGGAGGGATGCTTGGTGTTGGCAAGTCCAAGCTCTCAACAGCACCAAAATCCCAGTGGTAACTTGCACAAACACCACCTCCCAAGAATGTTTTCATTAATCTGTGCCAGGATCTGGGCAGATTTGGGGCAGTTGGAGAGCTGGAAGAACCTTGGCAGGGCTTTGAGCAGCAGGCAGGCTTGTGTCTGTGATGCCAAAGTCTTTCTAGCCTTGAAAAAAATGGACTGGCTGGATGGAAAAGAGCTGGCTTGGAGAGGCCCCTCCAAGAGCTTCTGGCACAAGGCAGCTTCACTGAGCAGTAATTATTATATTAGCTCCATAAATATTTTAACTTCTCAAGCAAAGCAAGGAGGAAATAACTCTTCAGGGTGGAATTAATAAGACAAAACCTCATTAAATCTCTCTAGGACAGACTGACAAATGTTTTAATAAGGTGATGGGAAGGATTCCTTTGGAGCTTGTCTTCTTAATGACTTGTTTTTGTAAAACCAAGTAAGACAGAGGAGAGCCTGAGGGGTTCCTGAAAAGCTTCTGAGCACAAGCATTTCAGACCTGGCTCCTGAGGCTCCTGGCTCCTGCAAAATGTCACAGTTGGGCTGGCAAATGGCTGGGTTGGGGGGATGGAAAACCCACCATTGTTTTAATTGCAGAGCTCTTGGGCTGCCAAAAAGCATCAGATCTCCATGGACACCCCAGTGTAGCTGGTGTAGCTTAGTCCATCCACCCAAAGAATGTCCATGTAGGGAGCCAAGCTGATTGAAATGATCATGTGCATCACCTGTAGGATTTTTTTTTCTTAAAGCTGAGTCAAGATGATAGGCTGCAATTAGGTAATTAAATCCCAACATTTAACTACACATACTCTTGTAGCCTTCTATTCTAAGGGGCCCCCAGCCCAGGGAACAGCCACCCTCCACTGAGGCAGCAATCAGATCCCCAGCACCAGCAATCAGAGATGAGAGTTAATCAGAACCCATCTGTAATTATAGCAGAGCCTGCCTGAGCACCTGATTGATATATTTCTGGCTTCATTAGGGGCAGGGGGGCTGGCTGGTCACAGGCAGGGGAGAGCAGCTGTGGAGGAGGGGAACAGCAAAAAGAAACACTTTTGGATCCCAAATGCAATGGCATGTCTTTGCCAAGGAGATTTATTGATTTAATACACCCTCCTTAGCCAGAGTGGGGACTGTGGAAGGTGCATTAAATGCTAAAATAAGTGCCTGGGCAAAGGGGCAGTTTGGGCACGATGTGAGGCCCTTCCCAAGGAGGAAGATGAAGGTACCTGCCCATGCAGGTGTTCAGGTGTGACATGTATGTCTGTGTGTGTATATGTGTAATATGGTGGTTGGAAAGAATACACACAGATATACAGTGTGTTTGTATTTCACCTTCTGAGTGAGTTGTGGGTATTTTTCTAGGGAGAGGAGAGATTGTCCAGCTATCCAGGAATATTTGTGACTGCATTCTGTCTTTTTTTTTCCCCAACCCAAATGCTCAGCCAATGTTTTCACATCCCTCCCTGGGCTCTCTGGCTGTGTGTGTGTCTGGTGGTGGTGCCTGTGCCACTCACAGAGTGAGTGTGCTCAGTGTCAGGGTGTTGTGAATCTCATTGTTAACAACCAGCCAGTGAGCAGGTCTTCTAAACCATCTGACCTTGCTGTCAACCATTGCCAGGCCATGGAGGGTGGAGATAACTCAGAGGCCATGACTCTGGGTTGTGGGTTGTGTTTCTAAGGCTTTGACAAGGGAGGTTCCCCTTCTCCTGCCCCGTCTGCTGACATATCTTCCTATATTCCACACTGGTGCTGGCTTTTTGGATAGTGGTGGTACTGGGCTGTGCTGGGGAGCACTGGGACTATGGAGGGATCATGGTCTTGCTTGGAGAAAGGCTCAGATGGTGTCAGGGTGCTGCTGAATGCATCCTCTGGACCCAAGGAGCATCCTAGTGCTTGGTCCTGCCTCCAGCTGACCTGGGGTGTTCTGTGCTGGTGAAAGAGTAACACAGTGCCCTCCTTGTACCTTCCTCCCCACCAGCCCAGCAGGGGCATGGCCACATCTTCCTGTCCCCCAGAAACACCCTGGCTGGGACAGGGAAGGCAGCATGTTTCTGTGCTCCAGAGAAGTCATTAACCACAGCACAATCTGGGTGCTCCAGAAGCCATCAAGAAACCCATGCTCCTCCACCAAGTTGGGAGTGAGAAATCAGCTCAGCGACCAGTTTCCCCAGCAGGGTTGTTCTTCAGCTCATCCTTCTTTTATGATTTAAAATAGAAGATAAAGGCCCTCTGGGTTCTTTCAGAGCTGCTCTGGTTGCCATGGAGATAACCCTTGTTAATCACTTTGCCATAAAACAAGAATAGTTTGCTTTGGGAAGCTCAGGGTACTCATGTTGTGCTGCTGTGTGCTCAGGTAACTGGTGGTGCTGGGACCACTCCTGAGTTTGCTCATTGCCAGGGTGATGCTGGGAGCCAGGAGCATCCAACCCCATCTCCTGGCACCAAAAGGTTGTCAGTCCCCAAGGAGACCAGTGCCAGGCTTTGCCTGGTTCATGTGCTGTCCCAGCAGGACCTGATGGGTTGGAAGGAGTCTGAGCAAAAAAGGGACACCAGTGAGTTTGGGTGTAGAGGAGTCTTTCTTCACTGCAGGTCTTCATAGCTCTGCTGCTGAGTGGTTAAGTTCAGCCAGACCAGTTGGGCTGTTGTGGGACTGGTTGGAATGCTGCTGGGGGGGGAATGTTTGACTGGTTTTGTTGGTGTCAGTCTGGTTGTGGCAGTGTCCTGGCCCTGCTGGTGGCTGGTGGGAGGTGGAGGAGCAGGACTGTGCCATGGCCAGGGCTCCAAAAGGGTCTCCAAGGCACAGGAGGGGCCACTTTTCATACCTTCACCCACTGGCTCTTCCCCTGCCAGGCAATAGTAAGGAAATTTAAGATCACAGTGAGGAGACCAGCTGTGGGCTTGGGGGGGTTGCCTCTTGACATTGCTTGGTTTATCTACACCCTGTTTTAATGCTGATCTCTGTACTATCATTACCCATGTCTAGATACCTACGTATCTGTGATTGCCTTAAATGCTGATGTGCCCACACTCCCTCCCATCACATAAGTCTGTCCTGGGGGTTGGGGGGAGATGGATAATGAGGGGGGATCACTCTGTGTGTGTGTGAGGGGGTGGTATATGCTTCGTATAGGGTGGGACATCAGGTGCTCATTCCTCCTGCAGCCCTTACGTCTGGGGACACGGAGGGGGCCAGCAGGAGTGTGCTGGGGTGCTGTGGGAAGGGGGGGGTGCTGGGTGTTAACCCCTCTCTGCCTGGGCAGGTGTACGAGAGCGGCAGCAACGTGGACCA